GTGAGTTGAAGATTACTACTCTAAATAGAAAGGGACAGTTTTCTACTTTATCTCATTAACCTGTGTTTATACTTTTCTCAGTAGTCACTGAAGAGCAATGGCTTTTACTTCCCATTAAAGGAAAAGCAAGCTTAGAAAATCAGGCTTGTTAGGGTGATGGATACGAGATCTTTCTGAGGCAGGAAGATGGCACAAGTAAGGCTGCACTCCCAGTGCAGAGTGAGATCCAGAGGAGCAAGTCCTCACCAGCAGGGACAAGCAGGCACCACACCATGTGTGGGATGTCACTCTGGGAAGCCAGTTTCCTCTTCCTTTGGTTCTATTTCCTTCTTGGCATTCTCGCTCAATGACATCTGCCAGTAACTGTGAGATCTGATTTTCCTCTTCCACCTCCAATGCCTGATAGCCCTTCAAGTGATTCAAAAATGCTGATTCTCAGTGAAGTTTAACATAGTCTGCATTTTCTCTACCTCTCTTGATCAAACCAAGAACACCAGCTAGTTCATATTTCTGTTCATATTTCTGTTCATATTTCATGCTTCTGCTAAAAGCATATTTTCACTGCTTTTACCCACATCTTGACTGACAGGGCTGTGTGCTTCAAGGAGTGTAGTGACCAGTGCTTTCCCATCTCTGCCTGTCTGCCTCCTGACCCAATGGGCACCTTCTCCTCCAGCCTTTCTTCAGCAGCCAGGATGACTTTCCAAACAGAGTCTGACAGGGATTAAAGCCAGAGAAACTGTGTGGCCAGACTCATAACCTAGGTTTTGGGGATGTTCTTGCAGCAGCTCATACTATTTCCCATACTGTCTGTCAAGCAGTATCCATCTTGCTTATTATACACATTAAAGCTTTACACTGTATTTCACCCCAAATGCTTCTATTATGTTTTCATGCAGCACAAGCATGTAAAACAGAGTAGTCATTACTTAATTACTTAATAACTATATCAGAGAGTTTAGTCAAGCATCTCAAGTTTGCTCAATCATAGACAACTTTATATAAATATCTGGTAGTGAACACCAGCTTTGCAGTCAGCACACCACAAATGACAGGAAGACTCAGGAGAATAATCTAGTGTAACAAAATAAGCACAGTGGTTCATCTCAACTTGCTAATCTTCTGAATATTTTCATTTTAGAGTGATTCTGACATGCATTTTTGAATTTCAACCAAAAATCCATTTATCACTGAGGTGTTTTGTTTTGCAACTACAACATACCAAAAACAGAGGCAGTATTTTTTGAACTTAAAGAGAGGAGATTTAGGCTGAATATAAGGAAAAAATCTTTTACAGTGTAGGTGGTGAGGCATTGACACGGGTTGCCAAGGGGTGTGATGGAAGTGCTGTTGCTGGAGACATTCAAGGCCAGGCTGTACCTAGCTGTGGGTGTCCCTTTTCATTGCAGGGGAGTTGGACTACATGGACTTTAAGGCTCCCTTATAACTCCAAGGATTCTGTGATTCTATGATTTCTCACACCTCTTTTCTCAATTCTATTATCAACCTTATACCATTTCCTTGTTCCATGAAAGCAAGCAGAAGATGTCATCGTGGCATAAATATGTATGTCGTTAACTTTAGGTCTATAAATTTTAGTTTACTATCTTCCCCACTCATGAAAGTCTCTCTTAGGTACAAATAGGGATAATTTTGTGGCAATTGGCCTATCAGACTTTTCTTACACTACGTAATGCTGTACCCCTGTATATCAGCATGCAGGCACCTTCCTTCAGACAAAATTGGGCTTATTTAGATGGAAGAGGAAACTTTTCCTCCACACTCTTGCAGTTAAGTGCTGAAGAAAATCTCTACACGCAGTTGATTCAGCGCTTCCTCGCAGACTTATTTCCAAGAAGAGACCCTAGATCTCAGGCATAAGTAGATGGTAAAACCACTTTTAAAACATCCAACTTCTGGAGAAGATATAATTCAAATGGTGAAGATCTAAAGCTCAGTTCCTCTGTTTTGTGGGCTGTGTTCTTGGGAGCCAGTAATTCTGAGTACAAGAGTAGTCAGGAATGACCTTGTGAGTGTGGCATGGGAGTTGATCGCAAAGAGGAAAATACTTGCACATACATCACAAAGCAGATTTGCTGACTGTTCTGCAGAGGTTTCAAAGGCAACAGAGAATGGCTATCACCCAGATGACCCTCTTACATACTTTGGTCACCACAGGTCATCTTTAACTGGAGTTACCTGCACAGTTCTGTAAGTCTGTTGTGCAGGGGCACTTGCGCTACAGCAGGGGGCTGCAGGCAGAGCTCTCACAGGAATCCTTCAATACGGGAGGCCATCACAAAAGTGGACTTTAATTTATTTTGAGGATTGTGATTCCACCCCCCAAATCCCTTGAGCTGGTGGTGGTGTCACTCTGAGGAGTGCAGCCTGGATACAAAGCATATTACTGACCTTTTATACTATGTTTTGCTTTATAGCAGCACCAGTAAAAATTGATTTTATAAATCCTTTTCATAAAGTTAATATCTTTTCCAGGGCATCCAGATTTTTTTTTTTTTTTTCATTTTTCTTTTATTTTTCCTTCTTTGTTTTTTTGTTTGTTTGGTTGGTTGTTTTGATTTGGTTTGGTTTTTTTAATAACAGCTGGTTTTATACAGCCTTAATCCATTTTTTATTTTGAAACTGTGAAGGTTATTGTCATCTCAGCCCCATGTAGCTGGCCACCCTGCAGTAGTTACGCTTTTCCTGAGCACAGTGGCTAACATCTTTGCCTTGTAGCACTTGTGGAAACTCCTCATTCTTCATTTGTAGTTCAGCCCTCCCTGTCCTTGGGGCAATCCTTTTTTGTGGGAATAGAAGGTAGGCATGGTAATTTAGCACTAACTAGTTATCTTTATTCTTCTAGCAGGGCAGTCAGCCACAGCACGTTCATAAGACTCTTTGCACCTTGCTCAGAAAGAAAAACAGAGTATCTCCCAACTCTTTTCCTAAAGGAGATCTTTTCCTTCGGACCAATGCAGCTATGAAGCTGCACAGGGCTATACACTTACGTAGATGTTTGTGCTGAACCACCCTCAGTGCTCATACAGGAGGAGAAGAGGATAGAAGATGCCTCACTACTGTGTATCCTGACCTAGTCTCATCCTCTTTTATTAATCTACATGACATTAATTGACTTTCTATAACCTACATCATTGCTTATTGTTGATAGAAAGCATCTGTTAGTGTCAAAAAAATATGTAATCACATGGATTGTGTAAATGGCAAGACACTGTCATACACAGTATTTAATTGTGACACATCCACCTGTTTCTAACAGAACAAAATGGTGTCCCAAGGCAGACTTACAGCTACACAAGTAATTTTCACTCCAGTATAACCTGATTCTAGTCAACATAGCAGGCAACTTCTCTCATTATTTTGCCTGATGGGATTACAGTATTAGCAATCTAAAAAATATTGAAAACAAAAACAACAAGAAAGCCTTGGCAGGCAACAGCATATGCCATTTCCCAGTGCTGCTGGAATCTCTTAAATCACCCACAGGGGACGAACTTTTCCTTGTTTGGTGTGGCTTAATGATGGCCCCAAAAAGAACTAATTAACCTAATGTCAGGAAACCTAGTGTGCAATACTAAGCATGACATTAATAGCTGTGCAAGTACCAAAGATGTCCTTTTTATTTACAAATTATTATGCATTTTTTGTTACTGTTGATAAAATTATGCCTAAAGGACATTTGACTTGCCAACATGATTTTACAAAATTTACATTTATATAGGTTCTTCTGTGCTTGTCATTGTCAAATATCCTCACAGAAAAGTTATTTACAAAGGAGGAGAGAGACATTTTTATACTCATATTAAAGGCAACAGATTTGTTGTTTCATAGAAAAACTAGTGAAAATCAATCAAAATCTTTGATTTTCTAGGTCTATCAAGTCTATGGTGATTCAAGGCAGAAGAGAAAACATTCTGGTCTCCTAAACCTTCATGGATTGTTTCTGCTATGGACAGAAAAAGGAATTTTAGTAAAGAAAGTAAGCAGAAGTGTAAGGAAAAGAGTTGAATATCTGCACACAATTTCACCCCTGGAGTCTCCTTTAATTGACTGAAGAGGCTTTGCCATATGGCTCTCTGGTATTACTTGTCATGAATAAATGAACTCTAGATTAAATTATTGTGATGGACACATAAACATGCAGGTAGAAGAAGAGGAGTAATTATAAATAACCTCATAAAATTTATGTATCCTATCTTGGGATTTCCTGAATGTTTCATGATTTTATTCCATTAGCACTGCATCAGAAATGTGAGCATAAGCAGCTTTCCCTCCTCTTCAATGACAAAATGATAAGTTGATAACAAATCAGGTATCCAATTATTTTTTCTGTGAAAATTGCAGGACATTAGTGCCAACTTGAGTTACACTCATGGTAACCTTCTCAAAAATGTTTATCAGCTAATGTAAATTAGGAAACTTCAATCCACAGGAAGTGCCAAATTCATATTCAAGAGCTGATATATGCGATACTTACAGAAATGGGCAAGGTAGATAAATGCATGGGTCCAAAAATTTGTTCAATGAATTAATGATTGCAAAGCACATAAAACCCCTAAAGAAATTGTCTGGTCTCTGGACTACTGCTTTCTATGTTGTATAGGACAGACAGGATAAATAGCCCTAAGCACTCTTCCTACTGACAACAGAAGACATTTTCAGCCTGAGAATATATATTTTTGCTTTAACTTCAGTGTATTGATCAAGTGTAAGACTATCACCCACTGTTCAATAATTCATTATGCTTTCTAAGGCACTTAACTGCTAAACTAGCTGTTGTGTTAAAGCTTTGGAATTAAAACTGAGCAGGGCTGCAGAGTTCTGGTGAAGTCAGAAACCCAGAATACTCCAACATCCTTCCTGAATGAGAAGTGCATAAAGCTGATAAAGTCTAAGCCAATTATCTTAATTTTAAAAATCTTCTAAGTGAGGTCTCCAACTACTTGCAAAAAATGGAGAGATCCTATCTACTTCTTGAATAAACATTATTGCCACAAAGTGGGGAAAAAAAGGAGTGGGGGAGAAGAACACTCACCACTCCTATAACCACCTCTTGGCACAAACACAGCCAGAGCTGCCACCAGTGCTGGTGCTTGGGTTGAGCTGAGCATCTGCTCAGTGAAAATGTCTGAGGGAACATGACATGAGGTTGTTGGAAGGAAAAGTGCTCTCAGACATGTTACAACCCAGTGTGAGGGAAAAAACATTTCATTTTCATGTAAGAAACCTTAGGAAAAAAAAGAAATGACATGGTTATGAAACACAAAGATAAGCTGACTAGACTTCTTTTTCCATTGTAGTTCAGGCACTGAACCTCTATGGCCTCCTTTGTCCCCAAGATCAACTGCTCACACTCCACGCCAGGAATGAATTTGGAAGCTGAAAGGAGAGCACACTGCCAGGCCTTTGGGTTATAAGCCTCCCAGCATGTCAGAGACTTTTAAGACAAGCTGCCAGTGACATTTGCAGACATACACTGTACAAAACATTTCTGTGTGCTTTTTTAGGGAACCTATGGAGAAGAGCCTGCTGGACGTGGCTGGAGTGTCCCTTTGCTGACCTGCTTCAGAGCTGTATCTCCCTGGGGACTGTCCTTAATGTAGCAGTATGCTTGAATAACTTCAGCTTTGTTGAAAAGACTGTTTCCAGTAATAGATTGTTCTCATTAATTTTCTCATGCTCTTCATTGCCACTGAGATAAAGTTGTCTTCAGGTTTCTGGTGCTCTTTCAAGCATCACATTCAGTCAGACATGTGCTTCTGAAAAAATGAGGAAATGATGAGAGCAAATCTGTGTTACTGTTATTGCTGTGGAAGTCTTAACCAACCATTCTTTTAACAATGGCCTTTCTCTGATAATGGGCTCCAGAAACACTCAGCAAGCATTGATGAATGTCAGTGGGTGCCATTTTTCTGCATGGAGGTATTCAGTGTCACACATTTGTTCCATACGCACTTCCATGTCAGACGCCGTTCTGTCAGACTGCCCCTTGGCTGCCATCTGTCTCACAGCAAAAACATGGAATGGGATATCAGTGGAAATGTTCAACCTGTACTATCATACCACCAACATCCACCTCTGACATTGTGAGCCAACGTATTAAAACAGAAGGCATCATTTCTGAACAGTCTAATTATTAGTTGCCATTATTAATGATCCAAGCAACAAGAAGGATGGGATACAATTCTTGACATGTACATATGCAGGCAGCACAAAGACTAGTGGGATGGCAGACAACCAGAAAGGGCTGGTCTTCTAGGCTGACATGAATCATCACATTGAATGGTCTCCATAGATTGTAGGAATAGTGCTGCACTGCACTGCATCAAGGTAAGTGATGAAAGAGATGGTCTGATACTTATGTGCTGATACTTATTCTTGGAGGTTCCTCCAAGAATAGGGTTAAGACAAAAGAGAAGGATTTAGCTAAGCTTAAACTTAGAGATGGAAGATGAAAATAAATAAATGTGACCTTGCATTGAGATATTGCTTCACAACAGGAAAGGTAGTTAAAAGGTATAGCGGATTACTGGAATAATAAGTAGACTTTTATCACATGGTCTTTAAAATGAGATTCCCTGCTTTTGTAAGGGGCTTGCACAATTTAATCCTCTTCTGGAGAAATTAAATGGACTGTGGCCATTAAATGGCAAAGTGTTAATGGCCACAGTTGTTCAGAGAGCTTTCAGTTTGTGAATAATTCATTGACAAGTCCAATGTTAATTCTGCAGCATGGTGAAGAGTTAAAAAAAAAAGACTGCTTGGCTTTAAGAAGCATTGGTAAAAGGAGTAGGATGTCCTTAGGCATCCCTGAACTCTTGTTCAGGCCTCTCCAAAAAGTCATGCTACAACGGAGCCTAAAAACGAACAACAGAAACTACCCAGGCAGAGGGTGATTTTTGAGCAGGAATCTTGGCGTATGACCAGATCTGACACTGTACCACCAGAATGTCGTAGAGAGGTCAGCTCTGAGGAGGCAGAACTGTTTCCAGCACTTTAGTTACAAGAAATAAACCACGGTTGAAAGAAAGCAAATGTTAGAGACTTGTAGGTATTGCTGTGACTTGTAAAGCTGCATTAGAAAACGTGACAGGAATAGAAATCCTGCATTTCAAGGATATGAGCATGGTGGTTTAGCAAAATTTCATCTGTAACTTACTTAATGATTGTGCACCACTTGCAGACTTTTCAAGCCCCAGGATGTTAGCAGTGTCGTGCTCTCCATACCGCGCTGACATGAGATCCAAGCAGCCTCAAAGCAGCTTCCCGTGCTGTGACATGCAGTGCACGTTCACCAGGTGGAACTAAAGGGGATGGCTGATGCCTCTGAACCCTTCTCCTCATTAATGCTGGAAATGAAAGCGAGTTCACTGCCTCCCCACAGCCTCTAATGAAACGAATCTGCAAGGACAGATGACGGCCAAGTCAAAGCAGGGCCTTTAAACAGCAATATTCTGTTCAAGTTCAAAGACGTATAAAAAGAAAAAAATAGAGGATGGTGTGCCAGTGAAAGAGAGGCAGAGAAACACAGTTCATGAGCCCTGAATAGAAATGAAAAACTAATCACACCGTATCAAGGCTGCAGACAGAACATTTCATCCCCATTTTTGTATTCTGATCACTCAGGCAGGCATAAAAATGACCTTTCTTGCACGCATGTTGTCAGGAGCCTGTTTCAAGCAAATGTTTATTTTATCTGATTGGATCTCAGCTGGCCTGCAGCACAGCTGATACCAGATGTTTTCTATTTAAGGAGTGTTCCCTGAGAAGTTAAGCTAAGGCACTGCAGCGGGTGTCTCTGAGCACCTTGTCTCCTGCATCCCAGGACAATGCACGCAGTGCTTTGTGACTCCAGCTGACAGTGAGCAGGAGCACTCCCATTCCTGGCTGCGGCTTCACATGTATTGTCTGAGAGCCCAGGGTAGTGTTTGAAGGATCCTATCCTGGTCCGCTCTATGACGAGCAGCATAAGAGATGCCCTCTGAGGGCTCACTGTTCTGTCTTCCAGTAGTGCCACTACACAGTCCTCCAAGCCACCACTAATTTTTTGAGCTTTTCTCAACACATTCAGGGATTAAAACCAAAAGAATTGCGTCAGCCCCATTGAAACAGCCTCTAGACTCTTTTCCTCCTACATTTGTTTTTAGACGCTGGGTGCAAAACCCAGAGAAAGCTGCTGGCTGGGAGCAAAAACTTCATCGGTTGCTGTTCAGCTTGCCTATACCACCTGAGACCACCTGAACTGAGCCATACCACAAGTTCTGCCAGGCTCAGTATCCTTCTTCCAACAGTGACCAAAAGCACGTGCCCTTGGAAGGATGGCAGATAAGGATACACCAAAAAGTTACTTCATCCAGCTAATGCCCCAACAATGGTGACATGTGGCTGGGAGCAGCAGCAAGACAAAAACAGTTCTGGTGTATTGAATAATGTCCACTCCATTTCTCTGCTGTCAACACATTCGTTCTCCCCATGTGAATCTGAGCATCTATACTGTTCTGTTCCAGGTTCATAGCAGAGCTGTATGCCTCCTGGACAGACTGATGGTGCAGCATGTGAAGATCCACACAGTGGCAGTCACCTCTGTCTATCCACACGGGCAGCCCCCACCTGTTAAACAAGGTAGGACACAAAGGAAAGCTCTCAAAAAGAACCAGAAGGCTGAACATCATCAAGGAATATAGAAAATGATGTATTGATAATGTTTGCTTTGTTTGTTTGTTTTATTATCACAAATGACTGCTTAGTTTGGATCAACACCCCAGGATTTAATCACACTGCGTATTCTCACTACAGTAATTTTACTTACTTAGCAACAGCTTCTGCCTTTTGTTCAGAATGTTCTAGGCTTACAGTGTACAATAAGGTAGCAAGAAGACATCTACGAGAAGCAATGTATCTGAAAAAAAAAAAAAAAAGAGAGAGAGAATGAGGGGTGAAGAGAGGAAGAGAATAAATTTCTAAATTAATATGGCTGTTGGTAAAATTTGAAATGCATAAGAATTTTCACAGTGCAGTTGTGTATGTACAAACATGTACATACGGAGTCCATGACTGCATCTCAGTGCCACCACCCTCCTGCAGTCCTGCAGCAGCCCCAGCAACCAAGGGCCATAAGCAGAGAGGTGGGTGAAAAAGGGGCTTTGCTGACTTCCGTGAGCAAAAGATGAGTGATTGAGAGACATCTGCCAGTCCTGATCCACTTATCAGCCAGGATTTCAGCTTTGAGGAGATTTCTTAGTCTGGACAGAGAGGGGAGAGGAAAGTGAAGAAGAATTAAAAGATGTCTGTTTGCCTGATAGGATCTAAATGATTTGACTGGCGGAACTCAGTTGTACTTACATTTTCAAATATAAGGATCTCAATTCGCTTGTGGAAAATGCTGAAGCTCAGTTCACAGAGCAATCTAATTCTCTTCATGTGTTGTTCAGGATAGCAGAGTTGTCTCCAATACATCCACAACCTTCCGGAGATTTCCAAGCATGACCCACATCAGCTTATAATGGCTCATTATTGCTGCCACATCAGAGAGCCTGTGGGCAACACTGAGCATGGAACAATGTGTTCAGAGCCTGTTTGCATGCATGCAAAGAAGGAACCTATATACGTACAGACAGATGTGTAATCAAGGGGACAGAGCCAGCTCTGAAAAGACATCATCAATGTCCCAGAAAGGCATTGGGCTCTTAACTAACATTTTTTCAACAGTGTATTCAGAATCTAATTGCATTACTGTGGGTGGCAGGAAGCCATCCTCCTTCATCCATGTGGGGATATAGAGATTACTAAAGCATCAGTAAAGGGTCAAATGTATTATAGCATTAAGACTGGTTTATGCCCCATTACTGGGCTTACTTAAGGAAAGAAAAAACTCATTTGGTTACAAAGAAGAAAAAATGCTGAAAGATATTCAGCACTAAGGGGAAGTCAAACATCCCTCTTGGCTCATAATTAAAAGGAAAAAAAAAAGAAAGCTGGGAAACAATACAATACCATCTCAACAAATACTGTGAAAAGAATCCAAATTGTTTTTCGCATAATTACTATAAAACTCTTTTCACTTGCAACATGCCACCACATTTACCAGTTCTGGAAAGGAGCCATGTACTTCCTCATCAGGTACAAGATGTCAAAATAACTGGGACAGTCGCACAATGGTTGCTGCAGCACATAGAAAAATAACATTATTTTTTCAGAGGGTTCAGACAATATGGAGAGAAGAACTATTTTGTGGTTGTTTCTATAATACTGTGAAGGGATTTCAGTGTTCCAGGGCAATCTTTTGCTGTTTGTTAAGGGTGTTTTTCTACTTCCTATGCTTTTCCCAGTATTATGCTGATAGCTTCAGAGTCAGGTGAACCTTGACACATGATCTGGGGCAAAATTCTTCTGCCCAGCTCCAATTTGTAAGCCACAGGCAATGACCACTTGTTTAGGGGCCATGTCCCACAGGCAGCAGGCCAGACATGAGCTCAGTGGTCCCTTTTGGGGACATGATTGTTTCAGCCCTTGTGGCACAGTAGCTCATGTCAGTCTCCACTACAGATGAAAATACTTTTTACTTGCAAACATTTATCTACTTCACAAAATAATAATAATAATAAAACCAAAACAAACAAACAAACAAACAACAACAACAACAACAACAAAACAAGTCTAGTGCCACAGGCTTGCTTCACAAAGACCTATCACATGCTGTTAATTTTATCCACCAATATTACTAACGCATGCTCAACTGCCTATAACCCAGAGGTTAGCAGCAGCTTATTTCAGGCTCATGGAGCAATATCCCATCCCCTACAAATGTTACTTGGTGTACAGATTATTTGCTGAATGAAGCCACTGTGCCAACCATAGGCATGTACGTGACAATTTCTACTCACTCTCCTCTGTAGGTAACATAACACGTAGCAAAAGTCCAGAGTTTTAGTTGCATTAAGAAGTTTACTCCAGAAGTGTAATCATTTAATAGGATCATGAAATTGCTTGCAATACACAGCAAACTTCAGCACAAAGCAGCATGGATTTTAAATACAGATGCATTAGCCTCATGTTTGTTAGTTTATTCAAAGTTTTAAAGATGAATTATATATTTGTTCAATTCTATGTTACACAGCAATTTTAATCTTCATTTAAAGTGTTATATTTATCAAATGCAACAATGCCTGCTGCAAGAACACAGAATTACTTAGAAATCTAGCTGCTGTGGCCTGAAAATAGGGCAGTAATCTCTGGTAATCCCCAGGTATTTAAGATTACCATGGAATAACACTAGAAATAGCTTAGCAAATGATTAAGAATGCCTCAGACTGTAATTATATGCAGATAAAGGTCACTGGGTAGAATATTTCTCTTGTGGTTTGGAGTTCATAAAACAGTGAGGGTCTTATTCTAAGGTACTTTTAATTCCATCCTGCATAATTGAGGTGGAAATGTAGTAGCATGATGGTATCTGATTTAATTTCTAGGTAATCAGTATGCCTGTAATAGGATTTCTTCACTGAACAAGGGGGTAGTCAAGTAGTATGTGAAGCAAGGGTCAAGAAAAACAAAACAAAACAAAACAAAACAAAACAAAACAAAAGTGAGAGTTTGGAAAGCTCCCAAGCATAAGCATGTCCTGAACCGTTTCCTCCTCTTTCACAAGTGAAGATGTCAGAAACCTTTGTAAAATGTGGAAAATTCCCCATGCTCATCACTCCTGGATGTTTCTACTCTTATCTCCAGCCTTTTCTCATGAGGCACTTGGATGACAAAGGAACAGTTTGAAACAACTGCTTTGTAAAACTGAGCCTTGTCTTTCTATGAGAGCACTGGCTGGGAATAATGCAATTTTATTTCTTTGCTGACATTGCTTTTTGCAAAGATAAATCAATCAATGCATGCCCTGAGCCCCCTGCATGGAGCTGGAGTACATCTTCTGGGCAGCGAGCCACTCACAACCCAGCACCTGAGCAGGGCTGCACAGTGGTAGCCAGCCTGGATGGTGTCTTTTTTAAAACAACTCCCACCCCAGTGTGCAATGAGTGGATGTCTTGTGCTCACCAAAACCTTTGCTTCTTCTTGCAGTGAGTGCTGCCAGGCAGCCCAACATCTGCCCATTCCATCCCACTGTAACCACTGTGCAGGAACAGGAAGAACGTGAGCTGCTTGGAAACAGCCTATGAACTTCAGTGACAACCACAGCAAAAAAAAAAAAAAAAAAAAGGGGAAAATGTCAATGAACATAGTGCTCACAAATCAGCTGGAAAAAGCTTTAATTATTAGAAAACACCCACTGTCACTGTGATCAAGATTTGGAACAAAGCTCTAATTATGGTATTAGTTTTCATCCCTAAGTGGCTAATGAATCAGGGAACAGACATTTACAGTGATATTTTAATTAAAAATAAATAAATGAAAATTGAAAAGGCACAGAAACAATGACATACCAAATTTGCTTTCTTTCAGGTCACAGGAGTCTCACTGACACCCAGAGTTCCTCTGAAAAAGAAATAGTTTAACCTTGATTTATCATAAAGAGAAGAATTCACTGTCGTAAAAATATAGTTTGCAGCAATTATATGTAAATCATTTTTTCCCAGGAAGCCAAAACTGACAATCAAATAAACATGCTCTAAATAGTCATTATGGTGGCACAGATGTCCTCCAGCCACATTTCATGTTGACTCTTCTATTCAAGTTGCTTTAAAATAGATAATTGAATGAGGGGCTGTTAAGAGCAGGCTATAGAGCTTTCTGTCTGGCTTGGCTTCACCAACCCGTTCTAGCTTTACAACAAACCTATTCCTGGACCATGTTTCCTGGATACTGAATGTACCGAACACTTAAAGATATATGTTTTGCAGGAATACAAGTTCCACAGCTGTTACAGGGCCTTTTTTAAGCGCCCTGCACTACTACATGCCGTTAGCACTTCATAGAATTTGACTGAGAAGTTCAAAATGAGGACAGATGTGCAATTCTTAGAAGATCAGTTAATTCAGTAGCTAGGAGAAAGTAAGCGCTCCAAGAAATCACATTAAAATCTGCTGAAAATGCTGAATCAACAGGAAATCTTGCATACAGAGACAGCTAACTAGTTTGAGGAAAAAAAATATATATATATGCCTATGCCTATGAAACACAGCTTTTTGTTCATGAGAGCTAATAAGAACTTTCATTTCAAATGGGGCTTGAATATAAGATATCCACAGCCTGGGATCTGGTCTCATTGTTTGTTCAGAACCAAGGGCATATGATTGATTCTGTCAGCTTGCTGTGTTAACTCAAATATGAAACAAACAAAAAAAAAAAAGTAAAAATCATCTCCCCTCAGCAGAGCAAGAATTGAGAAAATATCATTGGCATTTGACAGAGGTGTTTCAAGTGGTCTAAGTGGAAAGCTGTGTTTTTAAATTAAACACAAGCAGATTTCCCAACAAGCATAGCTTGCACCTCTGCAATAAACATTTCAACCTTTATCATAGAATCACAGAATCCTTAGAATTGGAAGGGACCTTTAAAAGCCATCTAGTCCAACTTTCCTGCAATGACAGGGACGCCTACAGCTAGATCAGGCTGCTCAGAGCCCTGCTCAGCCTGCCCTTGGATGTCTCCAATGACATGGCCGTGCACTGCATGTCTGCAGGACGTTGTTAGCTATGGCCAGCCCATGCAATGGGACTAAGCTCCCCGCCTCACTCCAATACCAGTCATTTGGTGCTTAGACACAATCCCTTACCGTGTGTTCTCATATTCATTATTTCCACTCTTTCTTCTTTTAGAGCAGCTCCTTGTGGCAGAAGAAGCATTTGAGCTCAGCCGATTAAGTGGGATAGCATTTCACTTGCCAGAACTTCAGTTTAGAAACAAGACTGCCGCCAGTGGAAGTCTAAGTGGCTCAGCTATGCTCTGGGTTGTTTTTAGGACAGAGTTCTAAAGCTTTTGAGTGATTGTTGCTACAGTATTTTTGAACACTCCACTCCTGGCTGTTTTGTTAAATTGTCTTTTTCTCAGCCCCCAAGAGATCCCAGTCCCCTCATCAGCCTTTGCACTCATGGAATCACAGTGAAGGTTGAAGGGACTTCTGGAGATCATCCAGTCAAACCCCCAAGAAGCAGGCAAGAAGGCTTTAAACACCACTATGTACCTAGATAAGACTCAGACAGAGAGCTAAAAAGCTCTTCGTTACCTGGAAAGGAGGGGACTGTAATGTCCCCACTGGAAAACAAAGGAGACTGTGTTCCTGGAAACAAGCTGCAGCTGCTTACAGCAGGTCTGTGGTGTTACACACCCCGCCTGCTTACTCTACATGTCAAAAGCGTAACTCCCTTAATGCAGCACTGGTATAGCTCTCTGTTTTGGTTTTGCTCTCGTTTGTGGATGGCTTTTTGTTGTTGTTGTTTGTTTTTTTGGGTGTTTTGTTTTGGTTTTGGTTGTTTGTTTGTTTTTGTATTTTTAAATAAAAGGCTTCAAGAAAAGCATCACAAGCTATAAGGCTATATTGGGTTCCTGTCCAAAGGTCTTCTAGTGGTAACTGGAGACTTTCCCTGCTACATGTGAGAAACGTGCCACGAGGACAGCAGATGTAAGGTGAGACAGCTGCACACACTCTACTGTGGCACAGGCCTTGCTTTCCATGGCATGGCTGCAGTCCTCTGCAAGCTCCAAGGGCTCTGTGAGCGCTGCTCATTGCATTCTGCCTGAGGCTGTGGTGCCCACACAGTCTGTGGCCAGGTGGTGAGTGGCTCTTCAAGCCATGAGGCTGTCACACATTGGTCACAGATTCTCCGATCAGTGAGGCCAGTAAGTGAACACCAAGTTTATTTTCCTCTCACGTTTCATGACCCAACTACTTCCGGATGCCACTGACCTCAGTGTGCTTCCTGCTGGAAATAACTGCAGCCAAGGCTTTTTTGAGTGCATGGGCTTGTGAATTTCTGCTGCTTGCTTCATCCATGAGAGCTACCAGGGAAAGATAAGCCTGAAAGGCTGTTTGCA